ATCCTCCCGATCACTATAGGCTTGTAATGATTGTACATTTTGAGTTTAATTTTATTGAGTTTTTAAAGAAGATTATTTGCATAACTAAGATTTTGAAAGGAAAGTTTTCGAGATTTGGTTGTTTAGTTTAATGCGTATCTCTTCCATTTCCTTCAATCGTTGTGTATTTCGTCGTGCAGTTATTTCAGGGTCTTGGATATTTCTTCCATGTATTGTCTTTGAGACGTGACCTCTGACCTTTTACCTCCTTGCTTGTGTGTCCAGAGAGTTACACAGGAAGTGAAGCCGATACCTTCCTCTCTCATTTCTCTGTATTCCCCTCGTTCTTCCAAGTTCTTGCCAAACCTGGGAAGTTAAAGATTAGTATGTGGCTGTGTGTGTGTGGAAGTGTGTGTGTGTGTGTACAAGTGTGTGTGCGTTCTTGATGGACAGCAGGCTCAAACAGGAAGTGCTGGCGGGGCTCAGACAGGAAGAACATCTCCACAACACACTCTAATATTAGAGCTCAGATATTCTCCTCAGGATGTTTGCACGTCTGTGTGTGTGAGGAATGAGCACACACACACACACACACACACACACACACACACACACACACACACACACACACACACACACACACACACACACAACTAAGTTTCCTTTTCCTTTGGACAACACATCCTCCCTGCAGTCTTCTAATTAGTTTTATTGTCTAGAAGAAGCAGCACTTTGTGATGTCTTTACAGTCTGTTTCCACGCAAGGAGAAACATTCTCACTAAAGATTCTTGAGTTATTCATGAAAAGAAAGTTTGATAAAATATAAAATGAGTTTGACAGGCCTGAATATAACTTTGACTTAAGAGCGATTTGCGAAAATGTGATGGAAAAAAAACCTGGAAATGGAACCATATGCTTTTGTAAATATATCTACGTTTGCCTTTTCAGTGAACAGTTATAACAGAAGATCACTTATTAAACGGCAACATTACACTGCATTATTTAAAATTCATTTTTAACAACTCTTGTTTCTTATTCCTGCCATGTTTTATTGAATAAGTTATCAACATCTAAGGGCTGTCTATTAAATACATTTTTAGATTACTAATACTAAAAGCAGTAACAAAGTAGAACAAATAATTGAGTATGGCTTTATTTAATCTTAGTGGACTATTCAGGGGTTTTTACTATTAGTTGACTATTGACTAAGAGGGAAACCCTTACAAAAAATGAGTCAAAAATAGTAATAAAAAACATATTTTGTGGCTTTTTTCACCTTTTAAAACATACATTTGTATCTGTAGGTAGTAACAGCTTTTTACCAGGAAATAGTATTTAATCTTCACCGTGAGCAGAAACCCTCCTCTTTCTCGTTTCCTGCGTTTGTCTTTCTCCTCCCACTCCGCCCCTTATGCAATATAACCAATGACATCACCACTACAATGGAGGGCTGTGATTGGCTGCTGGGGTGGAATATCCGCCCCTTTTGTAGGCCCCTCCCCTCGGGACTCTCCCTCCGTCTGAAGGTGTCTCAGTGAGAGACGCCGCGCTGCTGCAGGAGGACAAACCTTTCATTCTCCCTCCATCTCCCCTGCTCCACCTCCCCCTCATTGTGCTGCTTCTTCAGACGCGTGTGTGTGTGTATATATATGTGTGTGTGAGCGGAGGATGGGTGGACTCCTGCACGAGGGGAAGGTGTGATATGTGAAGACGTTGACAGATGGATAAATGGAGAGAAAACAGAAGCATGATGCTGATTCAGCGCTTTGTGCCCTGGTGAAACATTGGGAGGCAGAGAGGGACTCAGACCTCTGTCACTGACCAACAGGAAGAGGAGAAGTCTCTGTTGGGACTACAGATCTGGAATCATTCCTCTACAATAATAGAAGCTGTTGCATTTTAAAACTCAGGTTCACTCATCTGGAAACTTGAAAACTGGAACTCTCTGGACTCGTCTTACTCCGGTTGAAACTCGAGCTCCACCCTGCTGCAGGAAAGCAGAAACTCTCCCCCTTAAAAAGACAATTGAATTCAACTGGAAACTCTTACATTTCTCTGCTGAGCGTCTCCTCGATGCCTCTGTGGACGCGTCTCTTCTAGATCTTTCATCATGGAGCTCCAGAGCGCCACCACCAGCCTCCCCGGCCCCCTTTCCCCCACTTTGGACTACCCCTTGTCCCCCTCGTCAGGAGACCCCCGCCCCAGCAGCCCTCTGAGGGGTCTGAGCCCCAGCCTCAGCCCCGGGTTCTCCTCCACCGCTGCCTTCAACTACAACCAGCTGGAGGGCCGCTTCAAACAGCTGCAAGGTAAGAAGGGGGCCACGGAAATCTGTAAAAATGTCCCAGGAAGGAAAGAGAGAAATCCTGGAGGGGATGTGTTCACTGAGATATTCTTGCAACATGTCCTTGCATTTGGACTCTAAAAAAGCTTGGAAATAAGTCATCAAAGGAGTAGAAAGGTGACTAAATAAATCTTGGTTGACTAAGGCTTAAGTGGAATAAAAGGGGGCAGCCCTACAAACAATTGTGACAGTGCGAGTAGTGGGATAAGAATTGTTTTTTAAAAGTAGTACCTGAAATTCAAATGCTGCAAAAACCATATATTGGCTGTGAAAGTCATTTTAGCGTCTTGAGAGCAGCTTCACGCAGACGACAGAAAGTCTGAACACTTTAAGATAAACTTGATGGGAGTGGCTATATACAGGACCGTCCTGTACACAACGCCAAATGGCTATATACAGGACAGTCCTGTATATAAGGTCTCTGAAATGGCTATATACAGGACCGTCCTGTAAACAGCTCTCTGAAATGGCTATATACAGGACTTAATATCTTGATATCTGGTTTGAATTGAATGATTGATAATCAGTTAACAATCGCAAATATAACAGACGTTGGAAAAGTTAACAAAACTGCACAGCGCAGGAGTGTGTTAATAATCATTGTAGTGTTTTGTGAGAGTGACTCAGCAGCACTTTATCTCGCTGTAATACAGAGAAGGTTTATCAGACCCCACCCTGCGTCTCATTCATTCAGTCTCACAGATTACAGGGGCTGCTGAGTATTTAGTGCCTCGCTGACAACATTAATGTCTCTCAGTCTGCGCTCACACCCACATTCCTTCACAGAGTTGAGATGTGACCGGTGACCTTCAGCCTGTCTGCTTCTCCTTCAATTAGCTGATGATCACTCACACGTGTCATATTTGATATATAAGGGAAATAAGGGAGTTATAGGTAAAAGATCCATCTGTGTGACTGAATTTAAGACACATATTGGACAAAAATGAGTTTCTTTTCTGTTAAATAACGACTTTATCTTCTAAAGAAATGCCGAGCCTTGATTCAGAATTTGCAGTTACACAAAAAAACGGCTATTTTCTTTGGCAAAGCCCAATTAACGTTCTTTGAGATATCCCAACTTTGTCCCATTTTTGTACAACGCCACACCCTCTATCTTTGGGCTGGTGATGAAGTCTGAACCTGTAACATATAGCTGTATGGATAAGAGTGTTGGTCCACAAGTTTTAAAGTCACGTTACAAAGACTACACATGGAAAACTATTCCTGCTACCCTGAAATAACTGCACATGACCGAAAGTAGTACTTGCCATAACACGTGTATTCAAGTCAAACAAGTAATGGATGAAATATTGTCGGCTACTTTTAAGAATGAATGGAGCCATGCTGGTCTTACTTTCTTTTCCTTTTTAGATCTATTGGACCTTGCACCTAATGTTAGATAGCCCTCTGTTTACTCTTCAACATTCATTCAGCTGTGAAAACGACTTCCTCTCCCATCACGTGCACAGCCTGTGATGTGAAGCACTTCAAAACGTCAACCTCTATATGTATGATGAAGTTATTATCTATTTTCAAACCTTATGTCTATAAGAAAAGACCTCAAGTTATTAGCAAATGATTTCAAGCTATACCATAAAATCCAAATTCCTCCTTATCAGAATATAATTAGTTCACATGGCAATGGAAATTACTTTTCTGAACTCGCTAACAACTACATATACCCATGATATGTATACATGTAGTGCCAATTATGGCATTGATATATCAATATCTTGATATCAGTCTAGATATCATCTAAGATTTTTGATATCTTAATGTTATACATGTTATCTTTTCCTGGCTTTAGGCTGCAATACAGTAAAATAAAGTGTTTTCTTTAGCAACCTAGTCATTATATCAACAATACTGAGGATTATTTATGTTCCTTTCTTTGAATAGCACCAATATCCAACCCTACATTATCCATTTTGAGGTTTTTGTTGAAAAACATTGTGATATTGTATTCAGCTCTAGTACATAATGTAGTAGCACAGCAGTTACTAAAGGAGGATTTGTCAATGTAGTCAATTGAAACACTCTAAATCTTTGTCACATGAACTAATGCATCCTTGGAAAACACTATTCAATGCTTAGCAAATCACACGAAGCTATGTTAAGATCAACAATGGATGTTTGTGGTCAATAAAAGGTTTTAATACGACAACAGTTCTCCTGTGGAGGGTGGCAATTATCGACGGGCTGAATTTAGCTGAAGGATAATGGAGCTCATCGATGTGCTGATGCCCAGAAACCTTCAGAGGGTTGTGTGTGTGTGTGTGTGTGTGTGTGTGTGTGTGTGTGTGTGTGTGTGTGTGTGTGTGTGTGTGTGTGGTGTGTGTGTGTGTGTGTGTGTGTTGTGTGTGTGTGTGTGTGTGTGTGTGTGTGTGTGTGTGTGTGTGTGTGTGTGTGTGTGTGTGTGTGGTGTGTGTGTGTGTGTGTGTGTGTGTGTGTGGTGTGTGTGTGTGTGTGTGTGTGTGTGTGTGTGTGTGTGTGTGTGTGTGTCAAAACGTATAAACTATATGAAAAGCTTTCTTACTACTCATTTATTGACGATGTTTCTATCATCCATTAGGAGCCAATTTGCACCTCAGGGTCATTCAGCTAAAGATATATTTCCCAGAAGAAGACATGATGTTAGTGGTTTAAAGACGCATGGGGTCATCGGAAGTCTTATCGATGAAGTTTGACTTTGTGTGTTGTTTAGAGAAAGGGTGGATTATCTCGTGTTATCGTTAAAGGATCATAAAGGGATCTGTTTGGATGTGGGTGAATTTAATTGTTGCTGTTGTGAGAATAGTGACTTCAGGTAGACGACCTTAAAGATCTGACTTATTGCAATAATGCACTTCTGACAATCACCTTTAATCTGTGTTACATTGTTAGCAGATGTATTCTTGGACATACTTTGAATACTTGAAAATAGAGGTGATGATTGCTTACTTTATAAGTACTTATATACAGGAAAAAGATATCATCCTACTGTAAGTCATCTGCTTTTGGCCAAATCTTCAGAATGAGCTTATCAAGTGTAAAGAGTAAACCATTTTACATTCACATATCTGAGAAAAAGCTCATATTAGAACTTCTTGAACATTTTATAGCTTTTTGACGCTTGGATTGTTTTGTTTCTCTACATTTATATTTTTATTAACTGTATTTTCAAGTCAATTGTGCAGTAAAAATCCACTTTTCATAGACTTTTCCAGCATCTGTACCCTGGAGAAGCTACAAACCTTTAGTCAAACTGTCATCAGGACTTAAAGACATTACAGATGTATTGACTTTGAAGGATTAAGTAGATACCTCATTTAATTTGCACTTAGAGACAACTTTTACAGACATGGTTTAGTTTTCAGGACTTTCAAAACGTAACTTTTCATTGACCTTTCTAGTATCTTTACCCTGAATGATCCACAAACCTTAAAGGTCACCTATCGTGCTATTTTTAGGCAATAGCATAGGTCTCAGATATATATAAAAAAACATGGCTATGAAGTGTTTTTGCTCAAAATACCAAACAGATCACCCATTCTAGCCATGCCTCATATCCCTCTATTTCACTTCCTGTTTCAAAAGTGCTGATTTGGGGATAAAGCTTTAAAAATGATCAAGGAATGATCAAGGATTCTCTCTGAAACAGTATGGAGCTCAAAGGCTTTCTCTTTTGCCTGTTATACCACAAGGTGAGTTCCTTTTTACTTCCTGCTTCTTCACACACATGCTCTCCAGCACAGGTTAGCTCTGAGTGTTAGCGATGCTAATGTACACACCGACCATATTACGTCCAAAACAGTCGGGCATTGTTTCTGATTGGGCCGTGGGTCCACATTTCAGATATTACGTCATATCGGACGCAAATCTGGATCAGCTCCGTTGTTCCCCGTTTTTAGAGATTTGGGTACGGCGGAAAAGAGAGAGGGTTTTAATTTCTGACACTGCGTGAGTTCCCTGACGCACCTGGCATCAAAAAGTGCATTTTGCATGATAGGTCCCCTTTAAGTCAAACTATCACCAGGACTTAAAGATATCAAACGTGTTCTTAAAGAAACAAGTACTAGTCTTTCTGTCGCCGCAGGAAGCTGTTTAACTTCTCACTGGATAACCTCAGACAGATGAAGAGGTCTGAGAGTTTTATGAGGGCAGTTGTGGCGCGTTGAGAGGACATCAATCCATGTGTGGCTCAGGTGGTTAGGGCGTCCTAAAGAGCTGCTTGTTTAACTCCCAATGGGGGAATGAATATGGATGAGAGGGTGATTATTGCTCTGCAGATGTGAGGGAGGAGGAGACTGAAGCACTCCCTCCTCGTTAGGACGAGTATTGAGCGATCGTCCCCTGTTAATTCAAGCAATTATGGAGGGAAAACAAGTCGTCAAAATGCCTCCTGAACTGACTCGTGGGAGATTGTAATGTTTTCGCTGACTGATGTCCAGGTTAATCACTCGGGACATCTTCTATTCTAGCAACTAAGAGTTAGAAATCAGACTTAATTTCCTAGAAAGGATCAATCAGTGGATCAATATGGGTTTCTAGGTATGGAAATGGGCTGATTGATGGATGGATAAAGGATGAATAATTCATGATGGTTGTTTAGATGGATATGGAAATGAGCAGATGGAAAGAGTTAAGCATACATGGAAGACAGACGGATATATTTATACATTATACATTGATAGAAAGGTAATTAAATAGATGGATTGATAAAGTGAATAGATAGCTTTAAATAAAGATGGCTTCTAGAATAACATGTTTTAATTACTTGTTATAGCAACTTAAAGTAAGAAATCAGACTTAATTTCCTGGAAATGATCAATTATTGGATCAATATGGAGTTTCTATGGAAATACAAGAAAGGATGAATAATTTATGTTGGATGGTTAAAAACACGGATGGATCAATATGCAGATTGACAGATGGTGAGACAGAGACATACAAACACTTTTAAATACATTATGAATACTGTAGATG